CAAATTCAAACGAGTCCAAGAAATACGCAAAGCGTTTCAGAAAATGGTTTCTAAGATGAGAGTAATGCTTTTTATTGACATTTGTACTGCAGGTTATTTTGTAGCACCCCTGAAAATGTACTTTGTGTTTCTACTGTTGACGTGCAAATGAGTACATAAAATCATAATTCTATTTCATTATTTAGTGCTTGGTTGTATTTCACGAGATACCTTCCCATGTGCATTTAAAATACCTCATAATGAATATTATAAAAAATCAGAAATTATAATAAATTGGTTTTAGAACAACTTTTACTTTGACTGGTGATATGCAAACTTGTCCATGTGTACGTTATTTAAAGATTGATATGAAAATCACATGAGCCGAAACTCTGGATGTTAGAGTTCGAATGTATTTGGAATAGAGGTTTACTCTTTAATATCAATGTTAAAATATGTTACAAGGAGAATGTCGTCTCGCACAATGGTGGTGAATTATAGTGTATTGGTAATATCTAGGAAAGCTCTTGAATTTTGTTGTTCGCAGCATTTATCAATCAGAATTTTTGTCAGTAACAATGAGTGTGCACACGTCTGCAAATATTTGCAAATGAATAGAATGGAACACTGGTTTAACCAATCACTGAAGAGAATTTAAAGTAGGTCACAAGCCTTGCTTACACTCATACAGAAATAGTAGATGCCATGACTACAGGTTTCCAGGTGACTCAGTCTGGTAAAATATGGAATAGACCATTTTCCATTCACTGAGAGAATCACGTGTTATGCGTGAAATCGAACGTAAAAACAGGACAAACAAAGGTCATAGTGTCGTAGCGTTGTCAAACATCGTGTGGGATTCGACAAACACGAAAGTATTTTGGGGACATTTCCATGGGTAATAATGTGCTGTCCACATTTGATGATGGTCAATTTCAATTAAATGAGGGTATTCAAAAGCAATATTCCTCTGTCGAATATCGGCCGGTCGATGTGAGCTACGAAATAAAGAAATTTGAGTTCAAAATAACCTATTAATAACTGAACACCATAGACTCAACCTAACATTTGTTAAATATGAAAATAAATTCCATAACATAAAACATCAGGGTGCAGCCATTGTGTTCCGTCATATTACCAAACACATATGAAAATGGACACTTATGTGTTAAATTTCATTGAAACATGAAACAAATTGACGCATGCACCGTAAATCACTTCATCTTGCCTGTGTTACAAACTTTAAAGAAATTCGTGATTAAACTAGTGTCAGAGAAATGGGTGAAAAACACTTGAAAACAAAATGGTCACCAGTCTGCATTCGTTCTAAAACATATTGTTCCAATTTTTTTTATACGAGGTGAACTACGTCAATGAAATTGTCCAATTCTACTTTGTTTTTACGTTGTATGCAGAAGAGCTATAGCACAAGGTGGAAATAAAATCCATGAACACAAACCTTTGCATAGCGCCATACAGTTTAACTTTGCCATGGCGGGATGTTATATCTCATTAAATTACTACTACAAGCAGGAAAAAGATAATAACGGTATCACATGAATACAGCAAAGTACGCATTCAGGCAGTACTGCCATTGTGTTCACTTTTCAGTATTCTTGCTGCAACCTCATAATACCGATACTATTACTGAAAACAGTTTCGCTGCTAGAAATGTTCGCGATAACTCTCTGACTATAGCTACAATACTTCACAAATCGCAAAAAATCTGTCTATTACGAAACTAAAAAGACTATAATATACTATTACATTTTGAATGAAACTGGTCCAGGTGTGTTCGATAAATAATGTTGAATGGGTTTAAAGTTTCATTTTTGCACATTATATTGTATATTCAGAACATCTCTCACTGAGTACTATGATTATCATGAAAAATTATACAAAATTGGCTGAGCCATCTCCATGCTGGCAAAATATTGGCTGCAATGGATAGTGATACACTTGTACTCAGAGCCTGATTAGGAATGACCCAAGAGCTAGTCAACAGCTCAGCGGCATGAAAGTAAAAGAATGAATTCACTTCAATCACTATGTTCTCCACTGGATTGCTGCAAGATTCTCACAGAAGGATGATGGTTTTCTTAGTCACTTTTTAGATGTTTGTGCATGCACAAAGAACCTAGATCACTTTTCTTGGATTTTTGAAACCAAAATCGTCATTCAACTCCTAAATCAGTGATGACTTTACAGTTCGATGACAATTTCATTTTCGAATACCCCTGAGAAAGTGTTCTATGTTTTTTGTGTAACAAGACATTGTCAATGACAGTCCCCATCATGTGCTTTAATAGTGACTTTGTCAAACAATGAAAAGCATAGTCAGATTATGTTTAAATATTGGGATAGTATTTGACCTTTTTACCACAAATGTGCATGAAACAGGTATAAAGACTAAGTTTAATGAAGGCATGCCCCAGACACTGTTAATGATATGTCCAAATGTTGATTTTTGGGACAATTAATGGCTGTCAGTTGAAGGTCAACAAAATAAAACAAAGCGATATCTTGCCTCTGTACCAAATTTAACCCAAATCTGTACAATCATCTTTGTAAAATGAGTAGAACACTCGTAAAGAACAAAATGGCCACCAGTGTGCCATTTTCAATCAAATCACGAAAAACAATGACGTGCATCAGTAACCCACTATGACTGATGTAAATCCCAAGTTTGAATGAAATCTTTCAAGGCATGTCCAAGAAACAGTTGATGACATGTTTGAATTCTCAAATTTTATTCGTTTTGACAAAAATGACAGCC